TTTTCAAGCATCGTTCTAACATTCTATTGTGTGTCCTCCATGTCATGTTTCAAAGACGCAGGGTTCTAACATTCTATTTGTTTGTCCCCCATGTCATGTTATGATTATTACTCTATTATGACAACATTATAAACTCATAATGACGGCAATATTAAAGTTAAATAGTGAAATACAATATAACAGAACAATGCCTGTCAAACTTAAAAATTTTAAATGCCATGCCGGAGGGATTTTATAAATGATTTGTAATAAATTATAAATGGTCTTTTTGTGTAAGATGTCAATATTTTGACACTAATTGTCTGACATAACATTTACGTTAATAGTTTGATCTATCATATCGCGTGATAATATAATTGGTCACGTGATTCAATGGGTTAAAATCTATTTTTATGTGAGCATATTGATCTTTACACTTTATTTAACCCATGATAAAACAGAAAGTGATTCGAAGTTCAAAATACTTACATTATATTCTTTCCTCCAATAATAGATGTGATTTTGGTGAACCCTTAGTAAGGTATGTACACTATAATAACATTGTAGCAATTATCAGAATGTCACGTGACACCGGGTCGGATGAAATGTCTTAGATCAACGATTACTTGAGTACATTCCTATCAGATCAACGATTACTTGAGTACATTCCTATCAGATCAACGATTACTTGAGTACATTCCTATCAGATCAACGATTACTTGAGTACATTCCTATCAGATCAACATATGAAAACAAATCATGGAAAGTTAAAACACTAAACATGCAGTTAGCAATAATCAGTACCGACTTGTTTGTTGATAAATATCACCAAATTAAATCGCATACTGGTAGTAATAATTTACATTTACGGTCTAATTATTGAGTCCAGTTGTAATCAATAGTAATTGTAAGAATTATTGTTTGATTGTATATTCACCAACATTCATATATAAATCATATAGATATGGCACGGTTTCAGTTGATAATTACTACTTGTGAATGGTAACCTGGAGTACAATGTACACTGTACTCGGTGAATGATGTATGTCGGATATCTCTGTCACCAAAGCCGATTTAACAACATATTTTGGTTTTGTAAAACAATCCTCCCATATACATTCAAAGTATGTACCGAGACAGACCACACGCTGGGGCAAATGACAGTTTCAAGCCGCCTAGTAACGCAATGAATCATGGTCAAATACACACTGTGAATAAAGAATGTCAATGTTGCCAGACATCATTGTCTACTTCATTTATCCTGAAAGATTGAAAGAGGTTTTCAGGATATTAATTATTGATAGGATGTAGTATAATCTGACATGCTTTGATTGATCGGTTACCTTTTGTCGTTTGATAAAGATTGATCAGCGTAAATTGAACGAACTATTCGCTCCGCCTTAGGCTACCTTGTCATTGCTGTGTGTGTGCTTAATAGCTTATAACAATAGAATACAACGAGTTATTAGCGAAGTAAGCATATGCAACTATCATTTTCATTCCGATCACGTTGTCCCATCTTCCTGTTTTATTATCCTTCGTAATATAAGTACGTATTCTACCTGATCAGTGTAGCCTATACCATATATACACGACAAAATACGTGTTTGATGCTTGTGTTGTAATACTGTGGTTATATCGTGTTGTCGGATATAGTAGTACACTAACAAACTCTTTTGCAGTTTGGGCTGTGGAGGGCATATGCTGCGTGATACAATCAACATGCACGTGACTTTGATGCTGCTGGCTTCAATACTGGGCTTAACATCAGCTGAGGATAGCCAAGGTAATGCTTTATTTTTTTTAATGTATTTTCGTCTGTGTTTTCGGAAAGGTGGAATGAATTTGCCGGAAATACTGTGTCTTCCTCTATGCTCGTGTTAATAGACAGGGAATGTGTACACCTTTCTGTATATACAGTGACCCCTCGTAAGTCGCGCCTCGGTAAGTCGCGAATCGGCCAAGTCGCGAGTACTTGGATGGCTTCCAAAATGTCTATTGTGTTTTGACGGTAGTTTTGAAAGCAGTATATATCAGATAGTATCTCGTTCATTAATGTTTTTACCGTTATTAAATTAAATTAAGATAATTTTTGAATTAGGATATAGTACCTGAATATCACAATTAACATCCGATTCGACCGTTTATCTCTGCTACAGCGATATTAGTTATTATATTCGTATATAGCGATGGCAATGATCTGAGAAATATGTTGTCATCGTTGTAACTGTCGAGTAAATCTTCCGCGTTGTTGAAATTTCCGGTAATCATCTCTTTATCATGGATAAGAGTGTATCAAGTATTCTCCGCAAATATATAGCATGGCCATCCCCACAGCCACGAACGCGACTCAACAAACTTGTACTACGTATTTGTATCAAATAAATGTACTATTGCCCCTAAATGCGGATTACTTTTCTTATTTATACAGGGATTTTTGTGGTCATTGTTATCACCCTTTTACATGTCAAAGTGTGGTGTTAATTATCCCCGAAAGTTGATCATTTTAAAAGTTTGGTATGGAAGTGTGACGAAGAAGCATAGCCAAAAGGGCAAAAAGAAGGTGAAAGCAATGGGAAGGTGGTGGGGAAAAACTGATCGAAAACAAAACGATGTTCACTAAAGCGTGGATAAAGACGTGAATGGCTAAGACAAAGACACACAGGGAAAACATAATAATGTTTGGTCCATAAATAACAATGTAGCGATAGGTAAAACTACACGAGATGTCGACTTTAGATTTGTCGTTGAAGTGGAGACCCAAGTAGTGTTAGTGATGAATGATACTGATTTTTCTGATTGGACCCCGTCGTTAGTTTGAATTGTTAGCCAATGAGATGTAAACAATTGAAATTGTCTCCCACTGATAACAGGGGAATCTAAACCCATTTATTGAACGTACAGGATGAATGGGATGGATACAATAAAGATAACCAAAGTGCAAGATTTCAATTCAAGCTTTTATGAATACTGTATCTCCTGAACAAAAGACACAATTTATGATTGAATTCGACTTGTGTAGAGGCTGCTGCATCATTGGGAGAGTTTAGTCACTGAATTACCCACCCAGTTGTGATTATTATCTGCAAAACCATTGTTATTCATCCCGGTGATCCGACTGCTACTGCACGAAATAAGCATTAATTTGAAATAGGACCACCTGTTGAATTTTCAGACAAACCTGCGAAAGATGGATTTTCTGATAAGAAAATAGTTATAGTAATTATAGTAATGTTGTTGCAGTTCGCAGGCTACTATCGCCAAGATAATCAACTATAGCAAGACAATCACACCAGCTGATATTTATAATAATTTGTCAGCCATCGAAAGCATGCGAGATAAGGTCATTGTAAAAATTAGGCCTCCGTCATCCACTGATTATAACAGACATACGGGCATCATAATATTCCATTATACCAATTGTACAATGTGAATTGAGAAAATAAGACTATATAATTACACATGCTAGAGAAATTACCCGATGCATAAGCTGGAGTATCTAGAATTGGAATTGACATACGATGGCACTACCATACAGCCTGATGTCACTGGACAAAGACGATGGGCTGTATTGTTATTGTCCTGGTGAATACTTTACTATATACCATTTGTCTGACATTAGGTTGGCTACCAGCGAATTACTGCATTGAATTACTCACAACTGTTATGATTTACAAAGTCCTGAAGTCACATGGAATGGAACATGGAAAATTTGTCTACAAAGGCGCAGTACCACTACAGCGTTCGATGCAAGACATGATTCCATCACATATCATACAATTAAAAGTTGCACATTGCAAAACGTGTATATTTGGTTGTTAAATTATTATTATTGCTACAAGAGCAATTAGCGGAATATTACGAGAATAACGCAAAGTGTGCACTCATTCCGTACAGTACGGGATCGCATTCATTGTGCCATTCTCGAATTTGGAATGATACCCCTGTTAATATGGTTTGCACGACACGCCTGACTTTCAAATGAGAATATCTCAAATTCTCACTAAATACTACGTGAATTTACAAGTGATGACCGGAAGACCCTTCGGATCAATTTAATTGGATATTGGATACAAACAATAGGCATGCTAAAATAACATAGAAAGGATAGTGTAGGCTATAATAATTAGCAAGTTATTTCTGACATTCGTAAAATGAGGACCCATTATATCTTTCACCCTCTTTTTTGATTATATATATCAAATATCAGTTTCAAGTTGTGTGACAGGGCTCTCTCTAATTATGGACTAGAAAGCAATGGCTACTATCATGAACCCATACAATGTTGGCGAATTCTGTCTGAGCTAGATCAAATATTTTTTTTTTCTAAAGAATGTTTATGGGGTTTCAATTGTCTAAATACTAGTATATAATATTTCTGTCAAAGTTCTTACATCACGTACATATGTTTTCTCGTATTTACTTAGGTCAAGATCATTCATGTGGTAGAGTTCTAGAAACGTTTCCTGGTACAGTTTCATTTTCTGCAGAACAGGTGTCAATGCCACCTACAGATGAAGATTATTCTTGCAAATGGACTTTATTAGCACCTTCTGGTAAATAATGTTAAACCTTCTTCTAATAATATTATTATCTGATACAGCACGTACTTGTACACGTACAAGTTGTTTACTTCTCGTTGTAATGAAAATGAATTTGTTTTCAGGAAAGCATGTTGCTTTGAACTTCGACTACATTGACCTACGAACAAGTTTAGATTATGACGTATCAATGTCGCCAGGATACACGTTTGCAATAATAAACACCACAGAATATGGTACATTTCATTGGTGTGATCCATTCCCTCCACCCCAGGTAAGGTATTTCCCATGATCACAGATCACCCTTACGATATATTAACGCTGATAATGAAATTTAGTTGCAAACATCGATGAAATTGTATTTACACCATCAACGAAATCAATTGTTTCTTACTGGATATGAATTATGGATAATTAAATATGGGCAAAGGAAATAATAGTAAACAATTCGTACATCATAATACTATTTATTCTGGACGAAATACTTTTCCTAGTTTGGTAGACACACAGTTTTGTGAACCTTTTTTTCAGACTTTTCACTCAGTTGGTAACCAAATGGAAATACTTCTCGTGATCTCCTCTGCACTGATTGGTGGTTTCCAGTTCACCTATTGTACCACAGGTGAATACATAGCTATATTTTGCAGAATTTTATAGAATGTGCATATTCACAGAAAATTAAATACGGAAAGTGAATTAACACTGCTTGATAGTATAAAAGTAACATTGTTATTTTTTTCTTCTAAAGAATACTTTGATATACGTTATTGTTTGTCTATATATGGTATATCATTTTTGCTTTGTGTAAGATTTGCAAATAGATTTAAATATATTTTAGGAATATTCACTATTTTATCGAACGTAAAGCCCCTTTCACAATTGGTGCCAAACAGACTACAACGGCTTGCGACTCGAAATTTTTCCCGTTGTACGACTCGTTGTAGCCGTTGTACCACTTATTGTACGATTCAGATGCGACAAAATGGTCGCATCTCGGTCGGGAAAAAAAACCGTGCTGCTCCGATATTTTGAGCGACTGACGCGATGAAAAACAATTGCACGACAGGCAGTACGAGTGTTGTGCGACTTTGCACGCACTCGTAAAACCCCGAACGAGTGTTGCACGAGTATTTTCATGTCGTACGATGATGCGTCCTGTCGTACGAGTCCGTTGTACCACCCTAAGACTATTGGAAGACCTGTCTTGCCCCCTTTGCAGCGTTGTACGATTTTTTTTCATCCCCAATATAAGCTCGAGAACTCCTGAGCTTTCATCCCAAATGTCTGGACCATCCATACTGTAAACATGACTGCTGCTCGACCAATAGCTCCTGGGAGGCTCTTGCATTTGCTAAGTCTGAGAAGGCAAATCCAAAGCGTTCAAGACAGACATGTCATATTGATGGCATGTAAACTTCGATCATGATTTTGTGGAATGAATCATTTCAAAGAAGAAATGAGTGATCATGTCTACATTTATTTTAAACAAAAATTTCTTTGACAATGAAATGTTTGAAATAATAAAAGTTGATTCTCCTTTAATAGCCACGGGTATAGGCTGGGGCCCTTCCTCCTCATCAGGCTGATTTTTCCTCTTTTTCCTTGTCTTCTTTGGGGCCATGCCGATGCTTGTATTTTGGTTGTATCTTGTTCACTGTAGAAGCGTCTCGTCAGGCATCAGCGGTTGTAAATTTAGAAAGTCGCATTGCGTGTCGTATTTATAGGCCAACACCGCGCGCGACAGGTGGTGCGGTGTGTCGCACAATGGGTCGTAGCCTTGTACGATCGGTTGTAGTAGTCGTACAACGGGTCGCTAGGTCGCGCGACATATGGCGCTACAAAACGCATATGTCGTGCGACTTGGTCGCATCATCGTTCAACCGTTGCAGCCGTTGTACGACTGTTGCACCCGGAAACATGAAAATAATCGCACGATTACGTCTCACGACTGTTGTATCCTGGTGCAGTGGTCGTTCACCTCTCGTACGATTTTATATA